ATAGAGGGAGGAAGAAGATACCCTGCTTTTTACAAGGATTTGATAGCCCTCCTGCCGCGAGTTCACAATGTATTCAGCCATTCGGAGCAAGTCTTCTTTCCAATGATACTTGAGAATAGTACCTAGCCAGTTTAATGGAAAATAATGTAATGGGGGAGCAAATTTGTCGACACTGCAACCGATGCAACACCCAAGTCATTTCAGATAAAGTGAAAAGGCATGACTGTTTGAGATTAGTGATAGACATACAGAAGAGCCAGTAAGCTAACCAGGCAGTTGATAGTAGTAGGGTTTCGTGCCCCTGGCTGAGTATAAGATCAACAAACCAAAATTTCCGAGCTATCAAGACGATTTCATAGTTAAATATTAGGTCGTCCCCGTCCTCTCTTCTGGACTTATCTAAGTATTTGGACGATTTAGTGCCTACATTCTACTCCGATATAAGCATACGATAGTAAAATAGATAAATAGATGCCTTCAGGTGAAATAGTAATATATACACAAGAGGGTAGAAAAAAGGAAGGAAAGCACAGGCGCTAGGAGAAAATACCAGTAGAATTTTTGAAAGTAGATGTCAGGTAGTGCTCTGGTTGCTGTTGGTGCTGTTGTAGTTTTGACTGATCTCGGAATGCTGTATGGAAAGTCTCATGACAGACTTGAAGGAGACATTCAACGGAGCAGAACTGGCCATCCCACCGGTCGTCCGACTGCACCACCGGTCGATGACAGCGCGGAGCGGTGCAGAGCACCGACGTAGTAGGGACAGTGGTTGCGACTGGCAACGCTGAGGACTGCGGTGGTGGTGAGACCACACATTTGTATAGATAGGCTAATGGCAGATTGTCCCTCACGTCTTCCTTTTCCTTCAGAGTTCGTTCACCATCATCACTGTCATCACTATCACTTAGCACACCGAGAATGTCTTCAACTTTGGGGTCCTATAAAGAGGGATCCAAATCATAGATAACGGAGGCTATCTCAAAGCACTGCGATAAAAAGCATGGGACATGAAGTGCTGAGGCAGTCGTCGATGTCAATAGTTTCTAAAAGCCTCGTCATTTTTTTGATTGAAAATCTCTTGTACGCAGATCTTTCCCACCTTCTGCGAATTGCTAACATGAAACTGCTCCCAACCTTAGTGTAAATAGGCAAACACACTCCGAAAATGACAATATTCCTACTCATACTCCAACAGAACACCATAGAAGGAAGGCATAGCCCGTGGAGTTGAATGGGAGATGGACTACCAAAGTCGCCTTGACTCTGAGTAAACTTCTCATTCTCCAGTTCTGAGTGGCAGTGAGTCGACTGAGGGAAGAATTGAAAGCTTTCCCTAAAAAATCCGTCTTTATGTTGCCAACCTAAGAACATGACAATTCCCTTCTCGTGCAGTATGAATGGTATATTATCACTTAGCCTTCAGCAAGATTTAAGCAAAACTTCCCCCTCCTTTCCGGTTGGGCTGACAAAAAACGCGATGTTTAGGAATTCCATCCAAAGCCACGTGATACAACATTGTTAATGAAGCGGAAAAAAACCATTACATCTTTTTATTCCTTTCTCTCCGTTAGCTGCACCTGGCTACTTCCTGATGACCGGACTCAAAGTGACTACAACGAGATGAAGGCTGTGCAGCACAGTGAATTTGAAATGCGAATTGACTGGATGAAAAGACGCAAATGCAAACAATTTGGACATAATTGTCCACAGTAGCAAGTACTTAATGATACTGCCCCAAGAAATTTGCCAAATAGTATTTGTTGTGGAAAGACTGTTTGAGGGAACTCATTAGAGGACTGAGGGTGTAAACTATTACACTGTGATAGTAAGGAATCAGAAATGCTCCGGTGCAGAAATGGAATAATCCCTAGCCTTCAGTCATGGAAATGCTACATGAGACACAGACTTGTTGGATGAGAAAAGGCACGACAGTGGTTTAAGGCTGATTGACAATCTCAGATGCTAATACGTCAAATGCAATGTCTTCTATCGTTACTGTGAATGAAGGGTTGAAGAAAGACCATAGCGTGTGCGCCAAAGCGAAATGACCCGATCCGGCAAGGACATTCAAAGAGACTACTCCAGAGCCTGAGTACAAAACATAAATCGTCCACACTCATTATGATCAGTAAGACAAAAAATTCTGATGTAAAACATCCACACTTTGAAGAAGGTAAGGAGAAATATTTCAGATACAAGGAAAATTGAGGTATAGCAGGAATATGCCATCAAAAGTGATTACCCAATTTTACCAAAACCCCCCTCCCCAAGCCCAAATAAATTCACACCCTCCGAAAAACCGAGCAAAACAAGACTTGCTGCGTTGGAAGCAATACATTTCACACCAATTGACCTATACGGTCGAATACGCAATACCTATCACCATTCTGAGCAACGTGTGAAAACCGCACCATTTTGCAAATACAAATTTATTTTAGCTGAAGTTTAATGGCACGACAATGTGCAACACGCTATTGTGTGTGCATGTATAAAGGGACCGAATAAGTTGGAGTATGTTTGCAGTAAAGAGTGGGTAACTGTAAAACCAGTGCCTTGGGATACCTTACTTGTTGAAACATTCGCCATCATGAAATAGAAACCCTTCTCACTCAGACACGGACTTGTCGCAAATCACATTTTTACACAGGATTTTGGCTCTGAAGACGAGGAAGCAACGGAGCTCTAAACTCTATAAGCTCCCTCACATTCTACACACCACAGCTTAGATCCACATTCATTTCTCAACTCTCTAGACTATTTGACACGCGCATATATGAGTATCGAATGCTAACGCTAATCCTAATGCCAAGAAAAGGTATTTTGTATCAGTGGTAGCTTTGAGGGCCTGGGGAAATGCTGTTGGGAAGCAAGGAATATAAACAATGAGAGTACTCATCATCACTACGAGGGAACAGTCACTTCGCCTCATCGTCTAAATGCCATGTTTGTTGGCACCACAGGCTATCAAATCTTGCACGGTCTCGTAAGAAGCAGAGCATCTTCTTCCTCTCTCCAC